TGTCCCCTGGCCCCCTTGTTGTTGGCCTTTCTTCACCTAATGTCTGGTGAGCTTGCTCAGGAACTGCCTGAGCTGTTCATGCCGGCAGGCTGGCTGGCAGGGGAGGAGCAGCAGGGAGCCGATCTGCGATGCAGGGAGGGAGGGAGAGAGGGAGGAGGAGGAGCCCTCTCTGGCTGAGTGTCGGAGCCCCAAGTAAGTGACACCGTCCGGCAGCACTGTTAGCTGCGCGTGCTCTGCATGGGGGGGAAGTCCGGACATTTACGAATTCCCCCCGGACGCTATTTTTAGCTTAAAAAGCCGGACATGTCCGGGGGAATCCGGACGAATGGTAACCCTAAGTGTCCCCCTTCCCAGCTCTGACGCCACAGAGCCTGGTCTGTGTCCCTTTTCCCATTCCCTCCCCCTTAGCAAAACATGATTCCAATTCTCCCCCCCCGCCCCCCCCCCACTTCCTGATGGACTGCAGACTAAACAGTAAAACTTGAGTTCTGCTTAGCTATACCTTAACCAATCATTTTACTGAAATTTAACTAACCAATCCTAACATATTGTAACATGATTATCTAACCAATTATATCCCACCACCTTAATTGGTTTACTCCCAACAAAATTAATTTACAGCAGACAGAAACAATCACAGAACCAGACAGAGACCATGCAAATAAACAATAGCAAAATGGGGGCCATAAAGATAAAACATACAGAAATGAGAGTTTCACAACCACAACTATTGAGAAGTGACTTCTTGCCAGACAGGCCGCTATCAAACTACGTTTTCTTTAACCATCTTTCTCTGGTGGTGAGGGGCACTATCAGGACAGGATTGTATCCGAACAGCCCAATAGCACCTTATTTCCATGGGACTAGTTTGAAATGTGACCATGTGATCGTTCGCATCCCAGCTATGGCTGCCTCTTAGCCAAAGAACAGGGCCTCAGCCTGCCACAGTACGACAAGGCCCTTACACAGACAGACAGTGATTTTGATTCTTTCTTTTATACCTCTAGAACTAGCTAAGTGATAAGAATACACCTAAATTCATAAGTATAGGCCTTTGCAGACAGGCCTGAATATCTCTATCCTAACACTCCACCCCTTTTTCTTTCTTTTTCTTTTGGGATCCTCCTGCCCAGGTAGCCCTGGAAAAGCACAGGACATATGGCCAGGGGCGGCTCCAGGCACCAGCGCTCCAAGCGCATGCCTGGGGTGGCAAGCCACGGGGGGGCGGCCTGCCGGTCACCGTGAGGGCGGCAGTCAGGGAGCCTTCAGCAGCATGCCTGCAGGAGGTCCGCTGGTAACGCAGATTCGGCGGCATGCCTGCGGGAGGTCCGCCAGTCCTGCAGCTTCGGCGGCAATTCGGCGGCGGGTACGCCAAAGGCGCAGGACCAGTGGACCTCCCGCAGGCGCGCCGCCGAAAGCCGCCTGACAGCCGTGCTTGGGGCAGCGAAATACATAGAACTGCCCCTGCATATGGCGAGACATTTCCCGATAGGGCTGGGCATCAAGGTGGAAGGTGTCAATATTCCATTTGTCCCACTGCCCCTTGTAGTATAGCGCCCTGCACCTTCTCTCATATGAGCATACCACACCTATTTGAATTAGTGTTCCAGACTTTCCATTATAGTGGGCCCGAGAAGGTTGGGTCTGGGTTGTCTAGCACACTAGGGGCTGGGGAGGGCTTACTACATTACTTATAGGTTATAATTAGTGGCTGTTCGTTAGGGGGTTGTGCCCACCTTGATCGTTTTTATAGGCAACATAACACAAATACAGTTAACAATACACCAGCTGCTATGATAATCCACAGCAACTCCAAGAGTCCTGACCACTGCAGTATGGTCCAACATTTGAGCCACCACCAAAACACTGCCTCTCCTCTTTCGACAGGGTTTTGATTCTTTCTTTTATACCTCTATAACTGATAAAAGTGACAAAAATACACCTAAATTCTTAAAGTATAGGCCTATGCAGACAGGCCTGAATATCTATATCCTAACAACTGGCTTACATTTTTAGACGTGACTAATGCTTTTGGATGACTCCATTTTTGAATGCCCAACTTGAGACACCTTAAAAAGTCCTGCTTTTCAAAGGGTGGGTGCTCTTCACTTTCTGAAAATCATGCCCTTTAAGGTGTCTCAGGGAGGGCACCCAAAAATCACTAGTCACTTTTGAAAATCTTGGACACAAACTTTGCCCAGAGATTTCAATCAGGTATTAAACATGGAGGCTAGTGATGACGCTTAAGGGTTTATTTTCATATAATTTATACATATTACATGCACAAAATCAGGGAGCTC